GTTGCATTTTTGTTTGCTTAAGCACAAATTTTTCAGCGATTCTCCTTTCTCCTGCCAAGCTCCCGGTCTTCCATTTCCTATCACTCAAATGAACTGAACTAAATGAACTTTATGAACTATTATCAGGGTGCGCAAAGAACAAAATCACTACGCCATTTGTGATAAGACCATTTTACGCTTTCATCATTTTCCAGCGTATATTTGTCAACAGTCTTTTTTGGCTTGTCACTCTTATGATTATAGAAGAAAAGTGGGAAATAAATTGTCCCTTTTTCACATAGGTTACGAAAAATCGCTTTTTTTGGAAAATTAGCAATTTTGCTATTTTTATTCAGTTGTCTTTATTTTCCACTATTTTTATTGCTTCTATTACTAACCATATTATCTTTCTGTCATTTTCTTGTTTCGTTTTCTATCACTTTTAAAAAATTTCATTATTTTTATTTTATATTTGTTGTGTTTGGCTCTTTCTTCGCGACCGTATAAACAATCAGACTCTCAGATGAGCAGTGAGCTGGATATCATTGCGACCACACGAGTACGCAGAATCTTAAAACGAATGATGAAAAAGATTGGCACAGACCCGGGAGAGAAAAGGGAAAGAGTTTTAGTCGAGAAGAGCCAGGTTTAAAATGCTCCCCGCTCCCGGACTTCAGGAAATGCGAGAACATAAATTTGACATAATTGCGTCAAGGAACACAAATATTTACTTTTACCCGTTGCTTTTGCTTCAGTTCAAAACTCAAATGCTCAAAAACTCTCCCTCCCCCCTTCTCCTATTCACTTTCATGAGAGGCAGAGGCACTCGAAAGTGTACTTCGAAGGCAGCGAGTCTTTAAAACAAACATGCACTCGTTCGTAACGCTTTTTGTGATTTCTGCTCACTCGATGTTTGCTTATAAGCAACCGAACGGCGAGTTGGCTCTGTACGCTTGAAACAGTACCTTTTTACCTCATTTTAAGGTACATCAATGTTAGTATTAAAAGTTGTTACTTTTGTTCTGATAAGCTGCAGCAGCATGGTACTGTCGCTGAAAATACTAATGTTTTCACCGGCTATTGGTCACAGTCATTTGCAGTTCGTTGGAAAACTTGCTGATATTCTTGTTCTTGGTGGACATTATGTGGTATATGTCTTTCATAATTATTCGATCGTAACGCACAGTAACAGCAAAAGGCCCACACTAATAATAGGGATGATCCTGGTCCGATTCGTTACAAAACGAAAAAGTAAAAATGAGAAAGGAACATAGGTCGCTGACTCCTTCTCCCAGATGCCCTCCCCCATATCCCAAATGCCCTTCGCTCCGATGTGACATGCAAATGTTCCGCCTTGTGACTCAAGTTCCCCGTGTGATATAAAATAATGTGATTAGAAATGAGAGTAGCATGCTGTGGCGGGCTGCTGTCGGCTGGAATCCGAAATTACTGGAGATTGTTTTAGCTTCCTATCTTGTCTAGTTTTCAACATCACTTTTCCGCCAAAAAATTAACGCTAATTCTTTTAGACATTCGTGCGTGACACACAAACGTACACAGACGATGAAATTAAAATAAAGATGACGTGCATGAAGTGGAAATATAATACAGAAATTTTAGCTTTCTGACTTGTTTGACTGCTGAGTTGAAAGTGGGTGACAAAAATGCGAACACACACACACACACACATATACACATCCTTTGTCATTATGCGTTTTTGCATCTGCATGAATGTGTAAAAATGCACAACAAGCGTTACTTGCGCAGAAAAGGTTTTTTGTCAGTCGAAGAAAAGGTTTTTTTTAAGTCAGTTCATCATTAAGAAAATAGTAAAAATGTGAAAATAATCAGTGAGACAGTGTAGAAATCTAATTCAGTTGGATCTGATTTACTTCAAATTCGGTTTTCCAGCACGTAATCATATCGGAATGGGATCCGGCTCTAACAAGTAATGGGACAAAATATGCTCAACGTGTTACACGGCTGAAGTCTTCAAAACCATCACAATACGCCAAAATGCGCTTCCGTGTTGATCCTTTTGCTGACCCACTGTTGAACGAAAGTTCTATATTTATATCAGTTGCTAATCAATTTTGCGAAGGTATCTAATTTTTTCGTAAAATTTGCCACTTTTTGGACCACTAGCTTATTATTTCAAAAAAACAGAGCCAAAAAAAATTCTTCTTAAAATTGTACAAGGTTATTGTTGACGAAGATCCTCATGTGGGTTTGTGTTCGTGTGTCATGTTGCATGTGTGTTTGTGTATGGATGTGTGTGTTTATTTATGTGTGCTTGTGCATGTGTGTATCCTATACTTGTGTTTGTGTGCGTGAATGTTTTATGTCCATGTGCCTGCTTTTTTTTTTTTTT